TCCATGGGAAAATTCCTTGACTACGAGTCATAAACAAACTAGTCTTTTACTAGGCTCCTTTGTAGACCGTCACAATATATGCACTATACTGTATATATATACCATGTTGAGTGGCTAAGTTCAACAGTTGTTAAGTTGCGAACTTGTAAATAGCTTCATTTTTTTATTATAGTTTCAAGATTATCTTGCTGATCTTGAAAGACAGAATACTCTTGACTATTCTCTATACGCACTATCCATTAACATCAACATCCTCATTGTATCAGCTGTCATTGAGTGTCGCCGAATACCAATAACATCTCTTCCTTTACTAAACAGCCGCTCCACTGAGACCTCGGAGGCTGGAATAGCAAGATAATCCCGCGCAGCAGCAGCCATTCGAGGATAATCAGCCCGATTAACCCTCCACCAGTTATATAGCCAGTTTGTATCTTCTGTATTATCTTCATTCACATGAGGAAGACTGAAGTATCGATCAATATCAGACATTTGTGGTTGAAGTTCTGGTTGCAATCGTTTCAATAAGCCGGATGTAGTTGAATTGAATGCTTTCAATGTTGGCAGAGATCGTGTAGTAGAATAATTAACCTCTACCTCAGCAGCAGGATAATCCATATGATGTGACGAACGGCTACACTGACGATAGGGAATCGTGAGAATGTAGGGTATGCATTTGACGAGGAAACTAAGCTAAGTTATGAAGCTATTCAGGAGGTGGTTGCGTTATGTGTGACAGCTCTGACGCTAGTCCGTATCGGGGAGTTAGGTTATAGGGTATCGCGAGGAAGGTCCTCGGAGGCAGGTCACAGTCCGTGACATATGAAGAGTATTAAGAACATCATTGATAATAAGTTCCGCAGTTGTTGAATCTGTCAATTCCTGGCGAAGAAGATCACCTTTAAAGCGAGAATCCAGAAAGTGTGCTGTGTAATATATGTTACAATCATCTACCAAGGAATAGTATTTTTCATACTTCTTTGAGCTTTTTGCAACAGCTGAGGATATATTCTTGTCTAGATCCTTGAATCTCCTCTTGCATTCAGAGGCTTCATCAATTAGGTCATGAAGCGCGTAGAATATAGGGACAATTAAATTGAGTTGAGGCCTCTGCTCGGAGACAAGAAGGGTAAACTGATTGAAAGCTTCAAGAAGACAATGAAGCTGATCAAGTCGTGCCCAATCCTTATGCTTAAAACAAGGAAAATCATTAGATATTGCAGTAAATCGATCAATCTGAAATCTTGCTTGTCTGGCATCATTCAACATGCGAAAGGTAAAATTCCAGCGCGTGTCAACATCATATTGAATCATTTTAGATGATTTATTGAATGCCTCGCATGTTTCATGCCATGCATGACGTTGTAAAGGACTCCGCTGTATCCAAAAAGCTAGAATACGAAGCTTTAACAAAGGTTCTTGCATCTCAACCTCTTCTTCTCGGAAATTATTGCAAATTGTATCGGCCTCTTGGATAGTCCCAGTCTTCAAGCAGCAAAGGATATCCTTGACAATCAGATTCAAAATATGGGCGAGACATCGAATAAAATGATCCATATCACGAGATAAGACATTATCTCTATGCTTTTCTTTCAAGCGTTGAGACAACAGCAAGCTCATTTTCTTATTATTACTGGCATTATCGCTAGTAATTGCAATCACCTTGCATTCAATGTCAAGCTCAATAAGGGAATCTTCAATTGCGGAAGTGAGATTCTCTCCACTATGTGGGCCGGGCAGGTCTTTGAATTCAAGAACTCTTTCTCTATATTCAAAAGACTCAGTGAGCCAATGACCAATTATGTCTAGAATTGGGATATTATTCTATCGACCCTTTAAAACTTGTCGAGAAAATGATGGAAAGGTAAATCCAGTAATATTGACAAAAATTGATTGAAAAGCTTCAGATTCAAGAGCTGTAAAGTGTCACGGACTGTGACCAGCCTCCGAAGACCTTCTGTCGCCGCGTATATACACTAGAAAAACCCTTACTACTAAGGGTTGACCCTTTTTAGTGTAGCGGTATTTTTCTGCCACACCTTCCTTCGCGATACCCTATGACCTAACTACCAGATCGGGACTAGCTTCACAACCTAGCTTAGTTTCTTCGTTGAATGCATCCCCTACATTTCCGCGATTTCTTATCGCCAGCGTAGCCGTTCGTCACATAAAGGGTATTTTCTCCATAACAATCCAGCGGAGTATATTTGACTCTATTTGTTCTCGTATAGGCTTTGTCTCAAGCGGCTTCTGCTTCAAGAGTGATCGTATTATGGGTTGTTTTTGACGTGGTTCGCGATGTGGAGGGCGAAGATCATGTTTCTTCTCAAGATGCTGCACCATGTTGGTTGTAGAGCCATGACGTTTTGAATCAGAGGTTTTCCAAAGACATTTTTGATTTCTTGAAGGGTCATTCAATGAACAGCATATATCAAGATCTCTTATCATCCTTTTCTTGCTATTTTTAAGCCAATCTCTGATTGAAATATGACCAAAACCAGCCATTCTGTTCCTGATTGTTGATTGTATTCGGTATAGTTGGTTGCGATCTGTTTGATAGAGATCGGACGAAAGAATAGGGTGTTACAGGGAAAGGAAGGTCTGAGGTAATACATTCAGCTACTGAAGTAGTGGCTGATTCAGGTAAAAGCGATTGAGGCTCCTGGGACTGGGCATATGATTGATTTGACACATTTTCTATAATCAATAGAGGATCAATTGCATCGTTGAATGATTGAGAATAATCAGTTGCCTAACTTGCTTCAGAAGTAGGATCTAAACCATCATTCAAAGCGAAGAAATCAATTCCAATCCCTCTGGTTCGCATCCTCAATACCACAATTTTTCATAAAGGTTTTATAAAGTGATAAAGTGATAAATCTATCCCAAAATCATGAATATGAAGCTTCCGATATCCTGACTGGCATTAAAAATTTAATACACTAACTTGTTTAGGGGATGCACTAGGTAGCCTATTTGGGAAATTAAGATATTCGACCGAATATTCGACATCGTCAAAACCGTCGAATATTCGTATTCGTTACACCCCTATGCACTGGCCGGTCCCTGGGTCTCTGATAAAACGATTCCGTTTTCTGATGTAGACCCCACTTGACTTCCATCATGAGACCATGTAACCATAGAAACGGTGTGGTTATGATCTTCACATATGGAGAGCTGACGGCCTGTAGTCGAATCCCAGACGCGAACGGTGTCATCAAATGACGCTGATGCGACCTGACCTCCGTCCGGAGACTAGGGGTGGAATCGAATAGGGATTTTCCATATTCGTATTCGAAAAGATCTTTATATCGTCTTATTTGAATCCGAAAATATCTAGGGAGCTATTATGCGTATTCGATATTCGAATATTGAAAAATATTCAAAGTTCTTGGCAGAATTTCGATCGCATGAAATGATTGATTGACGCTCCAAATAAATCCCGCGCGACTTAGTGTAGTTTCGTCGCGCACTCGTTGTTTACCTCAATATCCTGTTGCAGACTGACAGCTGTATTTATTCGTTACCTACAATGGACGATGCCTCTCCTTACCTTCCGAGACGACTTCAGCGATCTCAGAGGATAGACTATCATCTCTTGAATGATGGAAGCGACGATGAAGTGCCTACAGAAGACCATATCTTCAAAAGACCTCGTTTAAACAAGCCAAAAGAAAGCCCAGAACCTATAGTAGAGAGGCTCTTCAATAGTGGGAGGGATTTGTTAGGCTTACGAAGACACTCCCTGCATAGAGAAACAATGAGACGGCTGGTATTATTGAGGGATCTATATAAATGAGAGGGCTTGGTGGTGGGCGCGTGCTAAATTTTCGAATATGTCGAATAATTTTCGAATAGAGGAATTTTATTTGAAAAGATATTAGTCAGCTGGAATTTATAGATTATTCGTATTCGAAATTACTATTATTTTCGAATATTCGACTATTCGATATTCGATTCCAGCCCTACCGGAGACCAAGCAATCTTGTAAATAGTGCCGGTATGGCCTTCGAGAATAGAGAGCTGATGGCCGGTAGTCGGGTCCCAGACCCGAACAGTATGACCACTAAATGCTGATGCGACTTGGCTCCCGTCGAGAGACCAGACAATGTGTCAACCGTATGTGACCGCTAGTCACATAGGAGACTTTCCTATTCCGGATATCGGTATTGGTAACTACCGATCCCCGAGGATTATGCAGAGTTTTCTGTTATCTCCATGGTTCAAAAGTTATGTCTCTTCTAACTGACTTTTTAGGCTAGATTGCTTATTATTCTTCATGTATTTAAACCATCGTTTGCAGCTAGATTGAAAGAATTAGACCTTCATCATTCGATATTCCTAAGTGTACATTACTAGCAATTACGTCTAGAGAGACGGCCAACACAATGTCATTAACAAAACCTGCGAAACCTTGGCAAACCGTCAGATCACCCTCAATTCGATCCCACACCTGGGCGATGTTGCCATCAGATATTACCAGGTTACCTCCCTCGCGATCACTAGAGAACTTGCTAATAGTGCCGGTATGGCCTTCTAAAACTTTGCACTGACCGGCAGTGGAATCCCACAACCGAGCAGTTTGATCTCGTGATTCCGAGATGACCCGAGTACCGCCACGAGCCCAGGTAATTGTACTAACCATGTCATTATGGCCACGTTTGATTGAATCATGTTATGTCTGGGGTCTTCAAGTGTAGGCTCTTCTTGCTCGGAGGAGAGATTGGTAATCACTGAGGTGACTCCACACTGATCTACCGAGACGGAATGATAGGAAGAACAATCCAACTTTGCTCCTGGCCGACCTCAATGTGATTAAGTCCCGCCAGAGCTTTCGGGTCGCGATCCTTGGGATGCTCATGGGAGAATTTACCCACCCCCTGAGTATCATGTCCAGCAATCTCAAGTACCAGAGTCTCGCCAGGCTCGAGGACAGTGCTTGTAGGCCAAACCTCAACATCCACTTTATACTTCTCGCCTTCATACACCGGCTGCACGTCGCTACCGAAGTAATCGCGGTAGGGCAAGATATCTTGGTGGAAGGGGTGCGTCGTGTTGATCTTGCGAAGCGATGTCCGTAGCCAGCCCTTCACAACAGGCACAGGGTCGCCCATGGTACCAGTGTAAAACACCTCTTCACCATTGGCATTGAGCTTGCGCAGGGTGACAAACAAATCGACCTCAGTAGGCACTGTCGCCTCTGCACTGAGTCGTGAACAGGAAACGGTCAGATGGGCAACAATATGGCCGGTAATTTCAAGGACGGATTCGGTACGGTAGGCGAAGGTGATAGGCTCGCTGTGTGGAAGTGATCACATCATTAGTTGAGTGCATATCGAAACCTCTGGGAAGAACATACTCATTGAGCGCATCGTAGGTGCAAGTGTCTATCACCAGACTCGGTTGCTGAGATAGCATCCGGTCTGGAGTGAGGAAAAACTTCGTATATCGGGTGTCCGGGATGGGCCAATTGCTCTCGTCGCGATTGGGGAAATTCAATTCCCTCTCGGGGTCATCCACCCCACAGTTTCCTTTCCGCACACAGATGTTGACCCGAGCCTGCTTGCCCGACGTCCAACCGTCATAGTCGTTGCCTTTCAAGAAGGCATCCAGAAAAGAGAGCTGCAGTTTGGCAGAATGAGGGTAATAGAAAGGTAGATCGTGACGGCCAACGATAAAACGTAAGAACTTGTAAGACGAGGATGCACGCATCCAACCGACTACATTTCCACGCAGGTGAAGCAGAATGCCACCCTAGGTCCATTTGATCAACACGCTTCGCATCGAAAATTTCCGGGAACTGGTACTTACCCAATTAGCGACACTCAGCAAAGGAACCTGAATATCGGAGAGATCAAAGTTCCTTGACTTATAGTATTCCTCATCCATGTACTTGTGAGTTGCAGTGTCCAGAGTCTGGTTGCGGCGATTTTTGACCAAAGTTTCAGGATCCAAGTCGCCTTCAAGAGTATTGTCACCCCATTTGCGAGCAGCGCGGCCGGGCATCCCGTACTGATTAGGCTGAACACCGTTGTGCCACCAGAAATCTGTCGCCGTAAAGCCTACATAAGCAACGTGGTCTCCACTCTGGAATGGAGAGGACCCACCGATAAATCGATCCGACAGGATACCGCCGTGGCGAACCCGGTCACGATAGTAGTCGCTCATGCCCTCCCAAGGGATAATCGCAGCGAGACCCTTTGGTTGACGCGCGGCGACTCTCCATTGAGTGCCAGCATAGTAACTAATCCCCAGCAAACCCACCTTGCCGGAGGACCATTCCTGTTCCGCAGCCCATTCGACGACATCGAAGAATGCCTCGCTAGTCCCACGCGACATCGTATCGAGCTCCCCGGGACTCTGCCCGGCTCCTCGTTCGTCGACGCGGACAATGACATAACCCTGGCGCGTCCAGAAGCCTGGATCAGGGGTCTCCCAAGATGAATGAGCTGATTTCATCTCAGGGTTGACCTGATCCCAACTCTTCTTGAAAAAGCTCTCATACGGAACGTCTTTGCCGTCTGTCGCAAGAATTTGATCGTTAATTCATTCTGCTGTCTCCACGGTTGAGGACGGGTACATACAAGGACCGTACGTGGCAATGGCAGGATACGTCTTCGAGCCAAATGGGACGCTATCTTTAGGGAGATAGACATTACACCGAAGAATACCCTTTTCGTGTGTCTTTAACGGGATGTCCACATTTTTCATGAAGACATAGGGGAAGCTCTCGCGGTCAATATTGACGAATTTGTTTTCGGCCATAGTGGAAAAGCGGTAAAAACGGTATATATATATATCTTGTAAAGATAGAGAAAAGGAGAGAGAAGGAGAGGGAATCCATCGATCAGTTGACGAAACGTTCTATCTATGTCTCGTCTCGGGTGGTGGTTATCCAATGTCACGGCACAACACCGGTTCCTCGGCATCGTCGTCTCCTGTTTTCGGCTCGGCTCCACACGGTCGGTTGGTTTAGCCGGCACACACGCATGGGGCCCGGCTGACAAAGCAGCTCCATCTGTGGGGAGAGTTCAGAAAGGGCGCATGAAATCCCACAATATAGGACTATACGGCCTTATTCTTGACCTCATAGCCGCCAGGTAACTGGGCATGATTTCCTAACACACCAACATCATCTTTTTTGTTCCGCCATGGTCTCAGTGACAGCAAAAACGGAAGCAGGGCAGAAGGCTCCGCTCATCAGTGACTATGGTATACATTATTCTGCTTCCGAGAAACCGCACATGTCGCAACAGACCGGGAGACTAGCTACTGTTGCTGGTCACATGGAGCGGGAAGCACAGTCAGTCGAGTTTGATCCCACACTTGCGCCGCACCCGTTGGTCCCTTACCCAGTGTCCAACCCAGCTTGGTGGCACAAGCCGTATCGCCGTCTGCCTGACTATCGCCCAGTCAACAAAAACCTAGATCGCGAGCAACGGCGGCAGAACCCGCTGTTTATGGCGGTGGGCTGGTTCATGATTGCAGGATGCTCCATGATTGCCGTAAGTTCGCATGCAACACCACCATGTGTAAGAACCCGGGCTAAGTCTCACTAGAATTGGTCCTCACTGTGGAGAAATACCGCTGGGCGGCTGACCGATGTTGGGGTTGGGACAGTTGGCGGTGAATTCTAGTCTGTGTGCTTGCTTGCGGTCAGTGAGAACACTGCCCACCATGCTGTTGATAGTGTACACGAACGCGATTCCAGTATTTCATGGGTGGGCGACTTGTCTGTTTCGAAAGATTTCCCGGTATCTTCCACGCAGAGAGGTGTCTTTGCTCAAAGGTTTCATAAGCACGTCATAGAAGGGATGAAACCTAGTCAAAAGTGTACCTATTTGTAGAGCAAGGCCTCTGCTTTTGAGAGTTCCCGAGAAATCCCACGCGAATATGCTCCACTGCTCGTCGCGGTGATGGAACCGCAATGCAGATATCCTGTCACGGCCAATCCGAGAGTAAGATACAGCCGCCTCCACTCTTCCGATACTTATAGTTGTGAAAACTGAACTTCAACCATTCGGGTCTCGAAAATCTCAATAGAAAAAAGACTAGAATTGCATCAAACCCCAATCACCTACCCCTTATACTAATCCCTTACACTAATCCCACGAGCCCAGCTGGTATTGAGTGTTACACATATTTACAAGCTCCCAACATTCACCCATCACCACGTTAGGACCTCGTTCATTTATACCACCCGCAGCACCAGCAACAAACAATGACGCCATCCAGTGGTCATCCGTTCCATGGGCTTCTCTAAAGCGTGGGTGCTTCATGAGTCGAGTCAATGCACGTCGTAATTGCGGGCCTTTGTTGCAAAGAATAGCATCCTCCACAGCCTGACGAAATTGTAATGCCCAATCATCTGGAGGCACCGGTTGCGCAAAATTGTCACTGAAGCGGAACATGTGTTCCCAGTGATTCCGGTACAGATTGTGGACTGAGCCCCCGCTACCGATGATCAATGTACCATCATCTCGCATTGGGCGCAGGGAAGCACCCATCTTAACATGAAAGTGCGGGTCGTACCGAGCATTCATCGAAACGATTACCGTTGGGAGAGGCACGCAGTGCGGAAACATGCGAATGATCACCAGGAAGGTGTCATGAATCCAGTCAAACTTCGGCGCTGCACGGGCCTTGAAGCCTGCGGCACAAAGCCTGTCAAGTACTTCCTGCCCTCCGTCGAGATCGGGCATCAACTTGTAGGGTAAATAGCGGTCGTCGCGAACGCCACCCATCGGCAGCTTCTTGGGGTCTGGGTTCATGCTGACTTCCACGGCATCTCCCAGGGTCGCCCAGTGAGCACCCTGTTACCCTCGATGAGAACCGATTAGCACGATATCGACAGGAGACGAGACCCCTGGGCCTCAAGAGTGTCCAATCTCACCATCATAACTATTCGCTTCACTCCGCGCCGCAAGGCCTCGTTTCCGACCTCCTCCCAGATTTTGGCAGGCTCCGACTCTTCACCCAGCATCATGGTGGAGCCGTGGGCGAAGAGGAACACCGGGGTTGATTCTGATTCAAGAAACCAGCAACGTTAGTGTACATGATAGAGCAAGGTGCGGCAAGAGGACTTCTCTCCCTGTACTTTTCTGAGGAACCTCCATTCCGTTGAGTTGTGCCACTTCCATGCGGTCACAGGTACAGGATGGGATTTGTTGAGTAAAAATGAGTTCTCAGGTTTTCGTCACCTTCTGCACGTTCCCTTTGAGCCCCGAGTGTCCTCGACTTGGGGGCGACATCAATTGCGTACGGGTAACGTGTGGGACTGGGTTGGCGCACGGTTCCATGTGTGGAGCCGAGCCGAGACGGGGAAATCAATCTAGTTGCACCTTCGGCTGCCCCCTACCTTTATACTGCTGCTGCCAGGGATCAAAGCAGAAAGCTCATTGCGAAGGAGACGGAAACACTGCTCTGTTGTCATGCTTGCAGACCTCTTTTTTTTTTTTCGTCACTTAGCCAACGTCGGACAACCTTCACATCATGTCGCTCACGGAGACGTATGAGGCCGTCCTGGCAGCCTGGACTGAGGGTCGTCTGGAAAACGTGCTTCAAAGACAGAAAGAAATTGCTCGCTTACATGCCGCCTTGAAGCAAGCTCGGTCTCAATTGATAGCTGCGTTTGCGGCGGGTATGTGTATCACTTCGCTTGTCGATTGCAGAAACGGCCCAACCAGCTCGCAAGCTTTGATACTGATTGCAACCCCGCCACAGATTTCGATGTCCCCGAAGCTAGCGCCGTGGAAGAGATCGAATGCGCACTCGATGGCGTGCAACAGCTTTACGATCAACTTGATTTCCCTTCCGCGCTCGCGAAAGAAAGGTCCATTCAGGCAGGTCGCTCAGCCCCCTCGAACTCAGTGGCACTGGGCCCACTGCTGATCCAAGCCGCCCTGCCATGTCCCATATCGTCTGTTATCTTGCCCTTGACTGCTGCTGTTGCTGCTGGGAGTTGCTGCCTTGTCCATTTGTGCATTGAAGCGCCTGAGGTCAGCCGACTGCTTTACGCCATTATCCGAGATAGCCTGGACTATGAGGCGGTAGGCCTCGTGAACCAGCCGCTGAGTTCCACAGACTTCGGCGTTCTACACTTTGAATCCGCTGTCTTGCAAGACTCCGCAACCGGCTCTGAACTTGCGACTGTGCTGCGGAAAACCAATCCGATGGCGCGAATCCATACCCCGGCGCCCGGTTTGCCTGCCATCTTTATCGACCGTAGCACACCCGCACTGGAAATGGCCGCAAATTGGGTGAGAGACTCAATTCTGAATGCTCCTGTCCAGCACAGTGGAAGGATGCCTCGTCTCTGCTTTGTGGATGAAAGCATTCTTCAACAATTCCATGCGATTCTGAAGCGTCACATGGATACCTCGGGGGAGGCTGGGGCACATTTGCTGGAAACTCCCACAACTAAGGAGATAGCCAGTAGCTTAAAGGCTCTCTTTCCCTCGCTTCAGAAGAAAATGTCGTCCAGCCGACCTGATCAACTGCCTCGATTGGTCGTTTTGCAATCCACTGAGTAAGGTCCACAGGATCTGAATCCCAAACTATCGGCCAGCTGACCTGATCTATGCAGTCCAACAAACCCCGAGACTATCGGCCAGGTCGCAAAATTGCTGACACAGTCGTACCAGGGCGTTTTGTTGATTCCAACGCGCAGCTTGGACCAAGGAATTGATTTGTGGAACACAGTGTAAGAGTGGACGCTCAGTCCATGAATCGCAAGACTATCGACTAATCTGTCTAGGAACACTGGCATGTCCGCCACTGCAACCTACCTGTTCGGGCAGAAGAAGGAAACCTGGTATCTTGCACAGTTCCTGAAATCAGAGCACTGCTTTATCAACTGTATTCCACCACGGTCATTCGGTGAGTGAGCTTCCTTGATCCAGCCCTTGGAAAAGCTAGAACTGACCTTGCCCTCTACCTACAGCTATGATTGCTCCTAGCTCAGCACACGATACATTCACTCTCCCTTACCGCCCAGAGGACTTTTCTACCAACAAGGCCATTCTGCAGGACAGCCATTCAACTTCGCGCCGTGATTGGTTGGATTTAAAACGACTTGCGCAACCTGCTGGCCATCAGCTCTCGTACTTTGAGCAAGGACTTATTGTGGGTCTGAGCGTTACAGCTTTGGCTGCTTCTGGGCTAGTATTTGCCATTTTTAAACTATTTAGAGGCTCTTAGTTATGATTAAATGGGTTTACCAAAGCCCCAACGGCCGCTAATTAGTTAACTATCTGGTTGTTCGTTACCACCTGTTTAAATACCAATTATCGTATTGCCCCGTTAACCACCAAATTTTCCAATCTCGAATATCCAAAACAAAAATAATCAAACATGGGATCCATGGAAATTGCATATCTAGTTATGTAACCTCGCTATGTATTCATAAAAGGCTATGAGCTCTTGGAAGGTTGTGAAGTGGGCTATGAATACTATACTGAGTAAATCCCGCTCACCCAAGATGTTACCTCGTATAATCCATCTAACTGGATGTACTATATATATATATATATATATATATTTATCTAGTGATTACTATGGTCATTATGTCGTTTCCTCTAAAGATATCATGAGCTATTAGTTCTATTTATATAATGTGGTTATGTGTCGGTTGACTTGGTCATTGCCCTAAGCAGATATCCTATCGATTCAACTGAATGTAGGTATATGCTCGGTGGGTA